CTCGGAGCCATCTACTTAGTAAATTCAAATCTAACTAGAGTGATTCAAAGTCAGCACCTGACAATATTATTCTTAAAGCGGGCAATCACTACCAGTGGGTAATCACTCTCTGGTTTACCCTACATTTATTTCTGACAGAGTAACCTTCATTATAATTAACGAATAATACCTACCAAAATCAAATTAAACGTCGAAATTCAATTATTTTAATTAAAGTTTTTGTGTGACTTCATTACAGCGAACAGTCGGTTGTTTTGCTTATTTTATTAAGTTGTATTGTGTGTAATCGCGTCCAAAGCTCAGAGCTCGTTGGCTTAAAGCTCAAGTTTGCTGAAAGCTTTGCTTTTGTGAGACTCGGTTGTGTAAACAATGGTTTTGTGAGCTATCTTGCTATGTAATCTGTAGCTGCATATTTCACTAGGATCTTATTATTAAAGACGTAGAATTGAGCAAGTAAAGTTTGCAACATTGAACAAGTTTCTCGACTTGATTTTGAATTGCTTTTGTTTGTTGTAATTAATGTACAATGAATATCTGAATCTTAACTAATATGTAAAATAAACTATCTGTCTTTTAGGTTGTTTTAAGTGTGCAAGTAATTTTTACAATTATCTATAGATCAATTTAAAAGTTTATTGCTTTAATATCAAAGCACATGTAAACACTTTCTGAGAGACACTACTTTAATCAACGCAAGTGGAGTCACGAGCTTAAACTAGTCCGTAAATAACAACGCATCTCGGTAGTGTTTTCGCAGATTAAAGGATAGTACACACCTAGAGCATTCGCATTATACTTCGGCTTGCGAACGCTTATCGTGGTGAGAACATATTCGAACAAAGTATTCTTTCAAGATAGCGCTCTTTCTAGCTCTGTTTCAAGCGAATGGTTAACTCGGAAAATGTTATTTTATTTTTTTATAACATTGAGAATGTTTGTACTCAAGTATGCATCGCGAGTAAGAGTTTGTGGAAAAAACGCTGTATGATTTCAAAAATAAAAATTCGAGCTTATGAATTTTAGATAAGAGTATGAATTCGCCCCTCGAAAATTAACATTTCAGTCCAACTTGATAAATTCGCACCACTCCAAACTAAAGGGCGAAAAGCCCCATTCATTAATTAGTAACTTGACGATTCGCATCTCGGTCTGAAACACTCTGAAATACAAATCTAAAAACCCAATTCGTTTGCCTTCCCTCCTTGTGAGCACCACCCTGAACACCTAACCCGATTCTTAAATAATTTAACAGCTATAAATAATCTTACCTCATCATCATCATCATCATTTCAGTCATAGGACGTCTATTGCTGGACATAGGCCTCCCCCAATGCTCCCCCAATGCAATTCCATTTTGATCGATTGGTAGCGGTCTGCATCCAGCGCTTCCTTGCTACCTTTATGATGTCGTCGGTCCAACTTGTGGGTAGACGTCCCACGCTGCGTTTTCCGGTACGCGGTTTTTTACCTACTACTATTTTTTTAATGTAATTATGTAAATTGTAATGTTGGATATATTTTATTGATTTATTTAATTTTAAATTTGAATGTAAACTAACCTTAACTAATATGATCCCAATGTGATTGAAATAAATAATTATTTAATTTATTTAATTTAATTTAATTTAATTAATTTAATTTAATTATTAAATATTTGTACCATGATTCTTTGAGCACTACGGTAAAAATTCTAATTTCTTTTTCCTCCATGTGAGTACCGCGCCTAGCACCTCACCCGATTCTCAATTTCATTTGGTGGATTGCATTTTTATTACGTCGCGCGCCGCGGCCCGTTTGATCGTTCAACTCATTCTTTCGCCATTAACCTAACTGCTTCAAAGCAAAAGAGTTATTTCGCACTCTTTGATACGTGTGTATCCAATATTGGAAATGCTCTTAAACGTTTCGCCATTATAGGCTATCCAATAAGGTTGATGGTCCCGTGATAAGCCACTCGTCTGGGTTCTGGCGATTCTCCTTCTGGCAAAGATTAGAGCCAACTCAGACGCATGACGTCATGGATTTCAGTCAGGTTGAGATCTATCGGCATACGCTATTAAAACAATAATGTGAAGTTTTATTCTAATATCAGATCAAATTTTGTTTCAAAGCGCGCTTTGTTATTTAAAACTATTAAAATATTTTAAAGGCACGTGATAGTAAAATAACAGCAACCGATAAGCTATGATTTATAGTTTGTTAACTATTCCACACTAAAATAAATTGCTACTATTATCACATTTACTTTCATGTTTTTATAATCTAAATAAATAACAAAATGTCTCACATGATTTATGATTTTAGGCCATTAAAATAAATTGATTTAAAACCAGCTCCAATATATTTGTATCACAATTTACGTAACTGCCAACCTAAACTTACTACTGTGGATAGCTAATCTTTCTATTTGATTGTACTACAACGTTTTTTCCGACGCTGGAACACGTAGGTTTTGCTTTTTGATAGTTTTGTACCAGGTCGATTCGAAGTATTGAGGCCTGAAATGGATTGAGTCTACGTTCAATCCAAACCTGTCAGTCTGCTCAGGTCGTGATGGATAGGAAAGGTGACGTTTAACAGATTGAACCTTACTACAAGGGATCAAGATTATCAAACACACCTATATTTTTATAGTTTACTTTGAGAGCAAACATATAGAAGTAGGAAATAAATTGGTAAGATCTTATTTTAGATTTTAAACTTTCGCGTTCCATTTCCATGTCTGCTTGTGACCACGGCTGCAGCATCGCAGCCGAAACGTCAAGCCGTGAGTGCATAATGTAACTCATTAATAAACGTCGCGTTAAGACCCGTGTCTTACTATTTTAGATCTTATTTAGATAAAAACAATATCTTTACTTAGCACGTCGTCACGTTTTTATTTATAGAGCTATTAATTCACGTTTTGTACTTGAATCGGTCATTTTAGGCATCCAGAAATACTTATTAGGCCAGTAGAATTAAACACAAAAATTGATTATATCGGTAATTATTCCTACAAATGAATTTTTTGCTTTGATGGCTTCATTGGTTGACCATTAAGACCCTCCTAAGTTTTCGACTTCGAAGGAGTTGTGCTTAAGTGGTGGGGGCCCCCGAAAGGGGCGTTTTTTCGGTTTTCCGGTTATACCGCGTAAAGGACTTACCCTATCGAAAAGTGGTCTTCATGACGGTTAAAGGGCACTTAATCCTGCATTGAATAAGACCAAATTCATATGTTTTGGACAAACCGTTCTCGCGCTAAAGTTCGGCAAAGTAGAAAATATACGTATAATTAATGACCCTCTCCACGTCCAATGGCTTGTTACCCACATGCTTCCAAGCCTTGTAAAGGGTCGCCTTAACCAGTGTAACCCTAACAAGGCTCACGAGTTTGATTCGCTTATCCTTGTTCGTCCCAGCCGTTCCTTAACTGCGGTTGCTGCACCTCTTCCTGGCACTCACCTGAACGACTCTGTGTTACCTACTGTGGCTGCCCCTCTTCCTTGTATCCTCCTGCATGACTACGTTGCCTAGCCGTATGCCTGGTCTAAGGTTCGACGCCAAAAATCAACAACAACAAGTTCATATTAAAACGCTGAAGAGTTTTTTGTTTGTTTGTTTGAACGCGCTAATCTTAAGAATTACTAGTTTGATTGAAATCATTATTTTTGTGTTGAATAGCTCATACATTGAGGAAGGCTATAGGATATATACAATCACTCTACGACTAATAGAGGCGAAGCAGTAAAGAAAAATGTTGCAAGCACGGGAAATAGTATTTAAACTATTTTCACTCGTACGAAGTTGATTTTGTGGCGTCGAACCTTGGACCAGGCATATGGCTAAGCAATGAAATCGTACAGGAGGGTACAAGGAAGAGGGGCAGCCACATTAGGTAACACAGAGTCGTTCAGGAGAGTGCCAGGAAGAGGTGCAGCAACCGCAGTTAAGGAACGGCTGGGACGAACAAGGATAAGCGAATCAAACTCGTGAGCCTTGTTAGGGTTACACTGGTTAAGGCGACCCTTTACAAGGCTTGGAAGCATGTGGGTAACAAGCCATTGGACGTGGAGAGGGTCATTAATTATACGTATATTTTCTACTTTGCCGAACTTTAGCGCGAGAACGGTTTGTCCAAAACATATGAATTTGGTCTTATTCAATGCAGGATTAAGTGCCCTTTAACCGTCATGAAGACCAGTTTTCGATAGGGTAAGTCCTTTACGCGGTATAACCGGAAAACCGAAAAAACGCCCCTTTCGGGGGCCCCCACCACTTAAGCACAACTCCGTCGAAGTCGAAAACTTAGGAGAGTCTTAATGGGCAACCAATGAAGCCATTAAAGCAAAAAAATCTTTTGTGGGAATTATTTCCGATTTAAAAGCTAATTCTACTGGACTATATCGTTTATAAATGAAACCAATTTATAACTGCCGTGTTAAAATGCAGCTTTATAAATACTACCGCATGTAATTTACGATGAGAAAAATGTATTATTCCACTTTCCTATAGCAATACGTACAATTAACGTAAATATTATGCATTTCAACTGCTCTGTGTATTTGTGCTGTATTCTCAAAATAAATACACCTCGTTATTCTCTCTTATTGTCGGAGCAAACAAGTTCCGGCTACATAATTAATTGTCAGAAGCAGTCAGAAACCTATTTGACGGGAAAATATATCAAGAAATATTTATTATGGACGACCATACCTACTTTCATACGAGCAACTAGTAATGGAATCAACACTGGAACCACAAATTAGCAAATATATCTTTCTATCTAAATTAACTAACCATTCATTCCGACAATGTAAACATAGAAGTAATCTCCAATGATATATTATGTGTGTTCAACGGGTTTCAACGCAGCGGGAGTCTGACTGAAAACACATTTGCAAAATTAATTATTCATTCCTCTTCAGTGGGCAAAGTAGTTAACATAACTACAATTAAAGCAACCGTCTCCGCGCATAATGAAGTTTTTATACTAAACTCTCCTTTTTTCTTTGTTCCAGACATATGGAAATATGACCCAGTGAAGATTAAAAAACCACGATGGATCCGACAGAAGACGAGTTTTATAACATTTGCTTAAACCTGACGAACGAAGAAGCAAGTCTCGGAGGTTGCAACTACAGCAGTGAATACGAAAATGGAGAATTACTGGAAAAAGTTGTGTCAAGAGTTGTGCCCATATTCTTCGGTTTTATCGGCATCGTTGGTTTGGTCGGAAATGCATTGGTGGTGCTGGTTGTGGCTGCGAACCCTGGCATGAGATCGACGACCAATCTTCTGATCATCAACTTGGCTGTAGCTGATCTGCTCTTCGTGATATTCTGCGTACCGTTTACAGCAACCGACTATGTAATGCCACGATGGCCTTTCGGAGACTGGTGGTGCAAAGTCGTGCAGTATTTCATAGTAGTGACAGCTCACGCGTCAGTATACACTCTTGTTCTGATGTCATTGGACAGGTTCATGGCAGTAGTGCACCCTATAGCATCAATGTCAATCAGAACAGAGAAGAATGCGCTACTAGCGATCGCCTTCACCTGGGTTGTGATACTAACGACGGCGATACCGGTGGGTATCTGTCATGGGGAGAGAGAGTACGCTTACTACCATAGAAACCACTCGTCGTGTGTGTTCTTGGAGGAGCAGGGGTATAGTAAGCTGGGGTTCCAGATGTCGTTTTTCCTGTCATCGTATGTGATCCCGCTGGCGCTGATCAGCGTCCTGTACATGTGTATGCTGACGAGGCTCTGGAAGAGCGCCCCGGGAGGCAGGGTGTCTGCAGAAAGCAGGCGGGGTAGGAAGAAGGTCACCAGGATGGTGGTGGTGGTCGTCGTGGTCTTCGCTGTATGCTGGTGTCCTATACAGGTTAGCATTATTCTTTTTCTCAAATTAATTTACTGGTATAGTTCTTGCAACTCACGAAGGCGAGTGAGCAATACTTGTGTGTGTACGTGTACACATGCACTTAACGATAGTGTAATGTCTATCAAAACTTTTGACAAAACGAACAATGGCGAGTTACCACAGTCATGTAAAGCTCACTCGCCTTCGTGAATTGCAACAACGAAGATATTCGTGCGTGACTATTCAAACTGACAGCTAGAATTTTATTAATGCGCTGTTTACTCTATAGAGTTATAGCAATGATGTTGCGATTGAGCAACCCCTGATTAGTTTTAAAGAATTGCAAAATCAGTTGAAACATTTTTTTGCTTCGTTTTTCAGCGTATCTCGCTAATTACTGTCAAAACTCCCCAGATTCAGGCCCGAACATTCTTATTGCCCAAAAAGGCAATTTAATTCCATTGTTTTTTACGAATAGCCTATCCCGTTGTCTCAAAGGCAAGGGATTCCGAAATTAGTTTCATTTGTTGTGTTGCCAGTGTTTAGGTAAATAATGTCTCTACCAAAACGGCCATTTGCATTTTAACAATGCCGGGGTAGGCTAGTGGAATCCTTTATTGGTTGAAATAGGGGCGACCCGAAGACGCCATCCTAGTATTAAGGTTGTAAAGATAAATACAGGTGATTACGCTAAAGACGGGGGCTCTTTGAAATGGGTCTTCTTTTCTAGAGTTACGATACATTTTTGCAATATCTCCAATGCACTAAGTAAAACAAGGATGTTTTCTTTTTAAGAGTAGGCGCACACCGTTGATTTTTCGTCGGCCGATAGTTTAGTCGGGCAGTTGATCAGTATGGGCATGTATGGGAGTGCGCATACTACGCCGATTCGATTTGGCCGATTCTTCATACAAATTAACTAAAAAATCAACGGTGTGCGCCTACTCTAAAAGACAATCGGTACCGATCCCTAAATTATGTATCCTTATTCTTTTGTAACCTTGTAAGTTCTAAAAGCAGATTAAAATTCTTTGCGTGTTCTTACAAATAGAATCAGAGCTGAAATCATTGTGAAAACATATCCATCAATGCTTCCATGAGTTCCTAATTTACAGTATTGTCGGCGGAGAATACATGCCAAAAAAAACATCATCCTAATGAGCAAGCGCATACCAACGTCTCGTGGGCGAGAATCGCTCAAAATATGCGCATAGCTTCTAAATATACCTATTACTTGATTGATGATTTCTTTTGTTCCATCAAAACTCATTTAAAGCGAAACATAAAACCGAGAATAAATTACATTATTTTAACGTAACCCGAGAGTGGATGCACGATATCAAATGTGCGAGTAATGTGTATAAAGTCGTAGCCCTAATGTCTATAGAAATATGCTTAAGTGACTCTGTCCGTTTGTCAATAATTGTTCCAGTATTTATTAAGCACTTTGAACCTTTGAATAGACTCAGTATTGCCGTAAACGAACATCTTACTTTTATCGACTCTAGGCCTACTATCTATCTACCTACCTATCTAAATGTTATGAGGATAAATCTTACAAAATTGATTCTTGGTTTGGAAGATTCAAGTCAGACAATATAAAACTAATAGCATTTTTGTAAAAAAAAAATATTTTAAGTAGTAATTGACTAGTAAAGTCTGGTATATCCATTTTAAGGTGGAACGCGAGTGAAGCCGACAGCAGAACCTAGTCTCTAATAAAAAAACTTTCTTCCAACCTTTATAGGCCACCTAAAAGTTTTTTATGGTTATTCTCCTAAGAGGTTGCTTGTTTACACAACGAATTTGTAAACTTCGAAACATTGTAGTCATTTTAAGCCAACGGTTGTACTGGGCCTCTGCGATGTGACGGCAATCAAGATTATTTATTTAAAATGGCGGCAATAACGGTAAACTTCCAAGTTTTTGGTTTTTGTAACGAAAAAAATTCGGTTCTGTTGCTAAGCGAAATTTTTATAACTTGGATTGTAGTAGTAAGGTCACACAAAAAAAATAAAATATAAAAAGTCAATGAGTGTTCCTTTTAAGCCTTTGTATGTCTCATTATCTTTTGCCATAGGCGCTTCGAGACTTTGAAGTACCTACGTACCTAATGATGAGACTTTTTATTCTTTCATATAAAGTATCAGCATGTCTGCAAGTTAAGATACCCTGCGGAGTAATACAAACTTTTTGTCAGCCTATAGTTTGGTCGGGCTGTTAAAAAGTATGAATATGTATGGATGTTACGCGCATTACACCGATTTGGTATTTGATTCATGAAAATTGGAAGCCGACCAAATTATCAACTGAATAAAAGTCTGCGCAGATTCTTAGCAAGATAATTTTAATTGTAAAAAAAAATTTTCAAACCTGTGTAGGTTTCACTGAAACTTAGGTATACAAAAAAGAACATAGGCGGGCTCATGGCTACATAATATATGAGTACTAGCTTTTGCCTGCGGCTTCACCCGCGTGAAATTTAGTTTGTCACAGATCGTCATAAATTATAGCCTATATGTTATTCTGGGTATACAATAATACTGTAAAGTTTCATTAAAATCCGTTCAGTAGTTTTTGCGTGAAAGAGTAACAAACATCCAGACATCCACACAAACTTTCGCATTTAAAATGTTAGTAGGATAGTAGGATTACACTAGCCAAAACTACAGTTTCTGGTTGTTGTGGACCTGTATTAGTGGGCAGCCGCACCGGCGAGCCGCCCGCCCTCGCACAATCGCTTTATTATTCATAAACCCCTGGGCGGCGTAGCGGGTGTGTAATGGACTGCGCTTAGGTGTGAAAATAATTAATTGTTTTCCATTCTATTGGTTTGTTTTCTGTTTCATTTAATCTTTTCGCCTTTTTCCTGTTTTGTTTCTTCTACCTGTTGTGAAAGCTTCAGGATAAGCTAAATGTTGATAGATATTTAAGTAAAACGCTGTAATTATTTACAATAGAATAATAAAGAAATTAAAGCTCTTTTTGTTGTTTACGCGAAACAGGCAAACACAATTTATTACACTTAGCATTTCATAGCATTAAATATAATATAATTACAGTTATATGAATGTAGACAAACAGAATACGCCCATTACTGGAATTGGCAATAATAAATGCTACAGAATAAATAAATAAGAATTCATATTTTAGCTATCTTATACAGCGTCGAGCTAAGCACATAACGGTATAAATGTACTATTTTTCGACTTAATAATAATAATCCTTACTAGAAAAAATTCTACTTTAATATCTGAAAAATAATAATAATATAATAAATCATTTATTTGCTCAGAAACATGGTAACAAAACGGTCGATAGAAAATGTCAAGTCCAACATGTTTTGTCCAGGATAGGCATGCAAATTTTTGAATTTGAATTTGAATTTGAATTTGCAAAATTAGAATCTATTATTAATAATAATAAAGTAATAAATTAATTAAAAATAAAATCAATGTCATTATAGGTACATAAATCAAATCAAAAGGGAAAGAAGATCAAAGAGAAAAATTAAAACAGTATTATTATAGTATTCAAATACGTATTACTGTGTTCAGTGCTCCTGTAATTGTATATTCCCATTTGGAATCGCTTTCTAAACACGGGCACATTAGTCATGCCGAAGCTCCGTGTTCGCTAAGAACTCGACAAAGCCAGAACGTCTCGTCAAACATTAACCAACAAAGGGAGTCGAATGCGCTAGATGTCACGAGAGATTAGACATTTAAATGTACTGCTTTTACCGTTTAAAATAACCTTTTCTGTAACAAATGGTTTTGTTAGTTGATAAAGGTACCTATAATTTATTTGTGTAATGTAATGTTTGGATGTCGTGGATAGATGACCATATAAAGGTTATAGTCTGGTCTCCGAGCACCGGCGCCCGCAGTGAGTGTGCGAGCGCGACAGCAACATAATTACGCGAGAGCGATATGGATGGGTAATTAATGGGGTCATTGGACAAAATTCTACGTGCTCGGAGACCGGGCTTCAGCAGAAAGGTGCTGGATGCATTAAGCCAATCTGAAAATTATTGAGGGAGGCCTATGTTCAGCAGTGACCGTCTTAAGGCTGAAATTATGATGATGTAGTGTTGTACTTTGATAATCCACCATTTGACGATAGTTCAGGTAGATATAAAACTACACATTTTTGGTGTAAAGTCTAATTAAGTACCAATGCAATCTATTACCAAAATACCTAATACTAAAATGCCGGACTGTTTACCTTGATTTTCTGCCCTCCGTATAACATTCTTTGGGAAAAATAGCAGGGAAAGCAGTTTCTATTTAACAGATTCAGCACCGTACAGTGCAATTATACAGTTAGATTTAATTTGTTAGGTCAAAATCAAGGTATGCAAGCACTCGTATTATCTTAATTTAGAAGTTATTAAGAGATTAATCTCTCCTTTGCTCACTTTGCAGCCAAGACAACTATTTCCCTGTTCAATTATAAATTCCCTCAACTCCGGAGGCGTTGGAACGCTTTATTAATAGACCATAATTAAGAAGTGGATTTATAACAATGATTTCTCGAATTAACAAAGATCCTGATCTTCAACTCTGTTTGACTTAATTAAAAAATTACGACCCTCTTTCTGATTAAAGGATTTTACATTTGAATTTTTATTAGATACCAGCCAGGATGGTTGCTTTAATGAAATAATATACTTTTTGGTTTAAAATTTGGAAAAGCTTGTTTTCCTGTACGTAAAAACAATTTCAAATTCTAAAAACATCTAACGAATGCGACATGCGCTCTCATTTGGAATGTGTCGACATTTTTGATGTAGGGATGAATAATCTGTTTCACAGCCAAGTTTCTGTTTTCATCTTAGATTGAAATATTATTTTAAGCATAAAACAAATGTAATTTTAATAATAAGGTAAAAATAACCGTAGCTTGAAAATATTTACTTACCCCCTTACTAATAAAACTTACACGCTCGGTGATCAGTGTTTTAAAGTGACGTTTAGTATGGAAATGTCATTTTAAAACAGTGATCAACAACTGTGTAACTTTTTATTAGTAAGGGGGTTAGATTATAAATAGTTTAACGGTGCCGGTAGGATCAGAAACAAGATTTAAGAAACACTAATTAGTTCAAACTAGCTAGACACTTGTATTGTTATTTGTAACTGCAAGGAATTTACTCTTCACACAAGCACATACAAATACGATTTTTACTTAATGAACCTAAATCAAAAGAAAGTTATGTCAAATTAATACTCACAGGCACCGGGCTTGGGTCGCTAATTCAATAAATCACCATCAACTTTGTCCTGCCTATTTAAAAATTCATATCACGATCAAATTTATTAAAAAGGGATACCTGTCATAAATTACAAGATAGTAAAATTGCACACGTGTGGAATTTTAAAATTGCCTAACAAGCTCCAAAATTATATTTAAAAATGGTTGGCTAAATTCTTACACATTTTTTACTGTCGAAAATAATTATAATATAGTAAAATCCACTTCCAGCTCCAGCTTCACCTGAATTTCTTCAGCACCTTGTGTACAGTCCTCATCCACTTGGCTCCGTTTAGTTTCTGGACATGGGTTTATTTCATTTATTTATTTTTTGCTGTTATCTGTGGGTACTCAGTGTATTCTTCTGTCCTGGAATTGTAAATTTATGTTTATCGTTGCTCAGTGTTAAATGTTAATGATATTGATAGTAATTTCTTACTAATTTCTTACCAATTTTCTTTAATTTATTTGTATAATAGTATTGCATTGCATTATTGTATGTTAGTAATCCGTAGTTGTTGCATAAAATTGGTTACAATGCTGGATGTTACTCACCTTCCCTTTCGTGTGATTGTAGTGCTGCGGATTGCTCTTAATTTGGTTTTATTATTTGGCACTGCTTTCTTGAAATATCCTTTAAATGTACCACATTTCATCAATTTACGTGGTAATTATTCTCACATCTCGTGCACATGTCGGTCGTTGACATTAAGTGCACAGTAAGTGACAGTTCTTTCTTTTTTTTTTAATTCACTTTTTTTATATTTTTTTTCTCCTCAATCACTTTTCTCCTATTGATTTTAAATAACTTGAGGCCTTATGGTTATGGCCACATATCAATGGCAACAATTAGTTAAGTAAGGAATGGTGTTTTTTAATAATTAATTTGTATTTTTTAGGGATAGTACATTAGTAGAGCTACCTCCCCTATCAGTTTGATTCACCCATTCTGGGACAACCTGTATATTGCACAGATTCGCATACAAATCATAATCGGGCCCAACTATCGGTCAACTGAAAGTCGGTCGTCTGCGCCTCAGGCTCATATTTAAACTAAGTTTTGGTGACTGTTCCAGATAATCCTGCTGGTGAAGGCTCTAGACGCGTACAACATCACGTACTTCACGGTGACGGCGCAGATCGTGTCGCACGTGCTGGCGTACATGAACAGCTGCGTCAACCCCGTGCTGTACGCCTTCCTCTCGGAGAACTTCCGCGTGGCCTTCAGGAAGGTACGTGGTCCCAGTCAAAACGAAGAGGTGTTCCTTGAAGTACACCTAAACTACGAATCCAAGCGCACCTTTTAATTGCGCTAATTTGCGTCAGCGCGACTATTAGTTGCTCTAAGTTGCGTCGGCGCACTTCTAGTTGCGTTAGGTCACCTTACTGTTGCGCTAAGCTGCGTCAACGCACCTTTTAGTTGCGTTGAGTTGCTTCTTACATATTTTAGTCGCGCTAAGTTGAGTTAAGCACCTTTCAGTTGCGCTAAGGAGTTAAGCACCTTTTAGTCGCGCTATGTCGCGTCAAGCACCTTTTAGTCGCGCTATGTCGCGTCAAGCACCTTTTAGTCGCGCTATGTCGCGTCAAGCACTAGTCCTGCTGGTGAAGGCGCTGGACGTCAACATCACGTACTTCACGGTGACGGCGCAGATCGTGTCGCACGTGCTGGCGTACATGAACAGCTGCGTCAACCCCGTGCTGTACGCCTTCCTCTCGGAGAACTTCCGCGTGGCCTTCAGGAAGGTACGTGTCTCAGTCAAAATGAAGAGGTGTTCCTTGAAGCACACCTAAACTACGAATCCAAGCGTACCTTTTAGTTGCGGTAATTTGCGTCAGCGCGCCTTTTAGTTGCTCTAAGTTGCGTCAGCGCGCCTTTTAGTTGTACTAAATAACGTCAGCGTACCTTTTAAGTATGCTAAGTAGCGACAGCGCACTTCTAGTTGCTCTAAGTTGCGTCAACGCACCTGTTAGTTGCTTTAAGATGCGTCAACGCACATTTTAGTTGCTCTAAAAATGCGTCATGTCACCTTTTAGTTGCATCAAGCATCTTTTAGTTGCGTCAGCTTGCCTTTTAGTTTCTCTAAGTCGCGCTATGTCGCGTCAAGCACTAGTCCTGCTGGTGAAGGCGCTGGACGTCAACATCACGTACTTCAAGTTTGACTCGCACTCAGCCAGCTTTATATCGTTTAGTTACGTGATCGAATCAGAAATTATAAGATGCTAGGAGAACCAAAGTAACGAAATAGCCCGCAAAATTTCCAAACTCAAGTGGCAGTGGGCGGGGCACATAGCTCGTAGAACCGATGACCGCTGGGGCAGAAAAGTTCTTGTGTGGCGACCACGAACCATAAGACGTAGAGGATTATTTTATACCATTTAGTATTCAACTTGAAGATCTCACTTTGACATTATCGTTATCATAACCACATTCAAAATTATGCTCATCGTAACAAAGATTTACATAAATTAAAATAATATTAATCTTGGCTCACTTGCGTGAGACGCTCCATGTATTTTAATTCCCTGTCGTAATTACAGAGTCGTTATTTCACCCACGTAACTTAGAGGGAATAAAACACAGACAATCTATATACATATATAAAAGAAAGTCGTGTTAGTTACTTCGCTTATAACTCAAGAACGGCTGAACTGATTTAGCTGAAAATTGTCAGGGAGGTAGTTTAGAGCCAGGAGAAGGACATAGGATACTTTTTATCCCGTTCGAAACAAAAAAAAAGTCTGCTTATTTATTGCCATTAAGGCGGAACAAAGTTCGCCGGGTCAGCTAGTTAATAATATTGTGAGACGTTATAGGTAAGTACTTAGTTTTTCCAACAAAAGCTAATTCTAGTATCTTTTTCAAAGCTGTCGTACCTATATGGAGTGTAAGCTGTGGTCAAAATTTCCAATATTTTATATTTACTTATTATAGCAAATACAAATATAGATTTGCTGCTAAATTTTGTTGTAAAATAGCTGGAAGTAAATGCTGATAAAACGAAAGTGCAAGACTTTCTCATACGAGTATATGTATTAGCCATCGTTACATAGCAATCATAAAACTAATTATTTAACAGACCCCATAGACTAAAACGCTGTCTATAAACGACATCAAAGTGAAATCCATATCGAACACAAAAACTTGCTGTGTTCCAAATTTGGAATGTTTCCGGGAAACTTTTCCAATTTTTCTGGCAATAAGAATCTTTCTCAGACGTCAATGAATTTGAAGGAAAAATGTTTTGCGCCTAGCAACACATTTAGCAATTCATTTTTATATAAACCATTTCATTGACAAGTTAATATTAAGAGTTAGTCTAATCATAAAGAAAAAAAATGTATTTTATATTAACGCCTGTATTCACAAACGATGCTTGCTTAAGTGAGTGTTAAAAATGCACAGCCCTTGACAACTCAAGAAAAATTGTCAATGGCATGTCTGGAAAATCAAGCCTTACCTATCTTTTCTCTCATCAATGAATGAACATTGAATAAAAGTAAAATTTAATGAAATATAAAGGAGATGAATCGCTTGCGGCCACTGTTTATTACGCCGTAATATTTCAAACTTCTTTTATATTAGAAACTCTATACTGAATCACAAATAAACGGGATCCCTTTAACCGCCGCTAAAAATAACCTTTTGATCTTGGAGTGAAGATTTGTATATAAATTATGATTGAAAGCATGATGACGTGGGAGGATCTCTCTCGTCACGTAAATACACGTTCTTCAATAGTTTCGAAGTATTGTACTTGAATTGAAATGAAAAAATAAATACGAACGCCGCTCCATCGGCTGTCACGGTCACGCACACGTATGTTTGAATTCTGAACATTTATGTACCAGTAAGAGTAGGTAGGTACTTATAATTTAATTTTGAAACTGTACAAGCAGCAGTGTCTGGGACTTCTTAAAATTTATGGTGATGGCGCCTACATCTTTTTAAAAGGGTCTACCTACGTTAATTCAAGTTTGATTTTAACGTATGGTATCTACTTCATCCACCCGTCGTTGTAGTAGGCTAATAATTGAAGGTCTAATAATAATCAGAGTTATCTCAAGATGTCTAAAGAAGTTATTTAACTGACGTGTTATTACTTACCAGCACAAAGAAGTATAAAGTCGTTACTCCAAAAGCGGCGAATATTCACATAAGTGGAAAAGTGGCAAATGCTTGCAAAGCGGCAGTTTCGTTCGCAATCGACGCGAACCGATGAGTCGACAAATTGCGTAGGTTTGAATGGGGTTTAATCCGGATCGAGAAGTGACGTCACTGAATAATTAACATAAATTAAGCTCCTACTTGACACCCCGAAACGGTTTATTCCACTTTGTTCACCTGGGTGAAGAAAGTGAAAACCATTTCATCCCCCGAAACACCCCACAAAGTTCTTTGAAATCAAATCAAATCAAAAAGTCTTTATTTACTCTCACAGACATTGAAAACATGCAGGAGATGTTTACACTGTTTAATTATTTAATTTAGACAATATCAGTGTGAGTCTGATGCCTATGCTAGGTATCGAATACCTGTGAAAAGAAAACTGTTGTTACTCTTTTGTGTAGCAAGCTGGAACTTCTTACAATCTATATTGATTTGCTATAACTATGTTGTTACTTCACATAACTGTTAACTACAAATGGGAACTACTGTATCTATGCATCCTTTACTCCATTTGCAAAAATTACAGTAGTAGGTCGGCTGAACCATTTAAGAACCTAGTAAGTGCAGCGGAGCAAATTTTACAGGAGAGCGAAAAAACGCATTTTCATTTGCCCTGCTAAGATGCTTAAAGATTTGGATAACTTCCGATGTTTATATTAAAGATTAGTTACTAAAGTATACTTTATGGAATAAAAGAATATATTTAGTTAAAAATTGCAAGTTTTATCACGGAATAATTATAAGTACTTCGTACAGAAGATTTTCTTCGCGAAGGTATTTAAAAAAAATGTATGCTCAATGTCGTTAACAATATGGTGTAATTTAGCTTGTCTCAAGAGTCGAGCACCATTTTGTTGACAAACGTCAGTGATCGGTACTGCGCCGAAGACATAGGGCTGACTTCGGTAAATGATGTGTGACGTGAGGTGCCAAACCGCGAAAAATGGCGGAGGAAATACATGAATAAGCATGAATTATAATTTTGTGTTTCTAATATTATTCAGTCAGTTAAAAATACTGTAGAGTATTAATTGCACCACCGTTTTTACATGTTATGGTTTATTGTCTTTACAATGCAAATGGGTGAAGAATACGTGCGTGCGTCAATACTCGCTCGTGATTGTCCTGTCGATTTGGTATCTCAGGAGGGGTAGTCGCGCGTGTTTTGTTTTCGATGCAAACTCGCGGAGATGAACAGGCCTGGTTTTATGCTCTTTACTAACACTAAAAATATTTTTTTTTTACAAAAGTGCCTCGTAAAAATCAAAATCAAAATCGAATATGAATCAGTACTCATGTAGTCCCCAGATTTTGATATGGTTATCGAGTGTCAGCCAACAGTGTGCTTACCATGAGTTTACGTTAGGTGTGCTCGCTAGCGAATATATCAAAAAATTCTATGAAGATTTTATTTCTTGAAAGTAGCCACTAGGGGCGCTGCACAATATGTCATACATTATTATGTCATTTTTTTACGCAGTCGCTAGCGAGCACACCTAGTGTAAACTCATGGTAAGCACACAGAACTCGAAATAATATTTAAATTACAGTAGCATTTTACCTCTAGTAAGTCACATTGACCATTTTGAAACCTAGTAAGTCCATGCACTTACTAATAGGTTTTAAATGGTCATTGTAACTTGCTAGGTTTTGATAATGGTTTTTGCAGATTTGAATTGGACTTACTAGGTTTTTAGCAACGCGTTTCTCCGGTGTTAAGTGTAATAGAGCGATTTCTGTCTTCACATCCTGTGGAGACCTTAATTCTAAGGTGATTTATGACAAAAAACGAAAATCTGAAAAAGTGTTCCTTACTAGGTTCTTAAATGGTTCAGCCGAGGTACTTATACATATCAGTGTTGTTTACCTAGTGTAGGTAGGCGACTGCCAATATTAAACTGAAATTGGTTTAGCGCCCTTACATTTTCAAGTTCAATTGCGGATATTGCCTTTTTGCCATTTAGAAGAAAAAAATTAATTTGCATTGAACAAATTACTTGCGTACTAAGTAAATAATTATGCTTGTATCACGAGTGGGCTCACCATAATAGTCGAGCGGCGCGCCGCAGCGGCAGGGTTCGAACCCGCGTTCCTCGGATGACACGCCAGTCCGACCCCTTTACCGTTCGGCTATTGTGGCTTCGAGAAATGGGCTTGCGACAACACTCCATTTTCACACAGCATTATGTCTATCACGAACATAAATAGTACTTAAAAATACCTACTCTATTAACGCTAACATTGAAACCCGAGCAAAAAACGATACAGACGCCTACGTATTTTTATTATAAAGACTAACAAATTAATTTCTTTACAGGTAATAGGAATTCTCAACATTTTATTAAAACATATTTCGAACATTTTGTATTCTCTCGTTGAAAATTGAAATTCTCTACATTCCTATCATTTCGTGAAAGCTCTCGAGACGAAGCATAACTTCCATATTTGTTGCTAAAATTCTAATCTTTAGATTATTTTCCACTCTTGAATTTGCTAAATACAACAACTCAGGAATGTGGTGCCTAAATGATAAGAACCCGAAATAATTCCATGAATGTGGCTTTGGTAGCTGATTGGGCTATCTTTGGGAACGAAACGTATGTGTGTAATCTGGCACTCACGCGTCGATGGGTTTTGTAAGTCCCTGATATGGCCCGGCCCAGTTGTGATGCGATGCGATGCGATACGACCAATTGTTTCGTGAAATCATTGTCCTTAGTATCTTAATTATGGAGCTTTTTCAATTCGCCTTCCATTCCATAATAGGAACACAAATAATGTGATCACTTAGTTGTCTTTCTATCAGAACCCTTTTTCTCGGGAACAGATCAATTTAAGAGCGCAAGCAGTGGCGGCGTAGCATGGGTTGGCACCCGGGGCGATCACCCCCCCCCCCCCACAAGTCCTATGGCACCCCCTGGNCGAAGATTGAAAGACAATCGCACCCCCCACCCCCCTGTATCAATGCAAAGACCGCAGATTTGCCATGCAGATGTGCCAGTGAGTACTAATCTGCGCGATTTGTGTCACCCCCTGATGCTTGGCACCCGGGGCGGACCGCCCCCACCGCCCCCCCCTTACGCCGCTACTGAGCGCAAGGGAATCAAAACATATTGGGTGCTTCTCGTTGGCCTAGAATCATGAAATTTGGAAGCAAAGTCTTACAGCACGTGAAGAAAAAAACCCAAAAACTTTGAAATTCATCACATCACACTGCGATTACAGTCATTCGCAGTTAAATAACAATTCGTTTTCAAGTACCTTAATTTCATTTTTCTGACTATGGTTATCCTTACTCTGTCCAGAGTAAAATAAAAAAATACTTAAAAAATGTTCACCAAAAAATAATAATTCCTTTATTCGTACACGTGCTGGGTATTAATGTAAAATAGTCTATCCACATATTTTACTAAAGAAGTACTCGAGTTTTGGGGTTAAAATAAATGTATTTACGAGTAGGCCTTACAAAGGCTATTAACTTAAAAGTTTCCAAAATGTTGAAGCAGCCTAATTGATCTCAACGTACGATCCCTTTTATTTATTTGTTATTAGGCGGGAATTGCCAATAGGTGATCTATCGACTATCATCTTCGAATCGGTAGCCCAACATTCTGATGCGCGCATTTGTGCTTTTGACTGAGTGCGTCAGCCACATAAAAAGCCTAACAAAAGCCGGACAGGCCGGACAATGGAATTTTTGGCCGGACAAGTCCCTAAAAAGCCAAACATGTCCGGCTAAAGCCGGACACCTGACAACCCTAGTTGTACCGAATAACTTTAACATGTACAGTCAGTACATCATACTGTACAATTTTCAGCATCTATTACGACTGCATAACGGCGCAGTTACACTATGCGCGAAGTTGACCCAATTAGATAGTGTAAACAAGGAGTTCCATTTGTCTCGCCGTGTGTCACACATACTTACTTCTGTGCGCGTATTCGAGTGTCTATTCGGTCAAATTGGCGCATAGTGTAACTGTGCAAATATCCAGTTTTCTGGTTGATACACTGTTGTCTGTTCATAAATTACGTCATCGACTAATAAAAAAATTTGGCTGAAACTGAAAGTGCCGTCCTGTTAATTACTTTTATTAGGGTAATTAATTAATTCAATGAAAAAAGAGCTTTTCTGAAAACAGTTCAAGGAAGCCGTTTCAGATTAAACAATACAAAAGAGAAGATGAACAAAATTAGTTAATTTTTTCTTGGATTTTAAACTCATATTGCAATGATACAAGATTATATGTTGCCACATTTTATTTGCTGAACAAAAATCTTTCTTTAATAAAAAAAAATACCAGTTCAGGACTGTACATTTACCTTATTCGAGTATAAATAAGCAGTTATGCTAATACTCATACATATTGCTTTGTTTCACACAATAATAACATGCCCTTATTGCACGCGTTTCCTTTACGGGGCCCCAGAGAGGACAACCGTTCGGCATTTGAAACAGTTCAACCGATTACGCAATGATGTTGTTGTTTTCCTCCATACCTCTATAATAATATTATCTCTATTTAAAGTTAATATACAATCACTTTCCTTGAAACTTTTTTGTTTTGTGAAGGAGAGCATTTATTTGTAACAGAACAACAAGCCGCTCTATGAAATAATCTGGTGTTAGAGTTAATGTCACCCTTTCACGAACCAAATGTCGTACATTTAACCTGTTTTGTATCAATCGTAAGAACATTACATAGAAATGCTCTAGTTTATACTCACCTTTATACAAACCTAAGGCCCGTATTAAGTAACGGCATTTTTTAAATATCATTTAATACTCAAAATTAGTTCTCGGCTATGATCATCAAAATATTGAAATCCAACTATGTATACCTAAGCATGAATCTATTCTTTACTTGAGTTTATGAACGAGTTCTGAGTTTCGTTACCTACATAATAATGAAAAGCCCATGTTAAAATATCCTAAAAAAACGTAGCATGTAGACTAATAATAATAAATAGGCTTCGATTTCAACGAATCGAATAACCGTTTGTTGGTCTGCCTGTCTCTATTTATTAGGAGAATATATATACAGTCGCCAACTGCAGTCTAGGTTCTAGTTAACATTCATGTTTATTTTAGTCTGGCTCAGATAATAGCCCATGTTTTTCTTGTTAAAGAAAAATATTACAATATTTTAGAGACGCAGGTTACTTGTAGGTTTTTCGATCGAGAATATTCAAACTAGTAGCTTACTTACTACGCAGCAAAATTAGGACAGAATAATATTATTTTCATATTTATGATTATTTTGTGTGCTGAAAGCCGGCATAATGTTTTACATTACACTTTAGTTTTCTTTTCATTAAGTTTCAAAATTTGAATCCTAATGAAAAGATGATATAGATAATAAAGTGTAATTTTAAATTCAAATTCCACTTTATTATGAATATGTTAACGTTAGTTTCGGTTTGTCACAGAACTTTCTACTAGTGAAATTTTCAAAATAGCTTCCGTAGTTTAGTATATTACTTCTTCGAAACAAACTTACAAACTAATACCTCTAAAATTTAGTAAGATTCATTCAATAAAAGATTATTAATTAATGTTTTGTGACTCTTCGTTCAAAGAAAATTGATTGGAGCCTTTCTTTTATTTCGATAATACGACACCGTATAAGGGCGCCCGATCGCGCCCTCCAGACGTATTATTGTATGTATAACATTGTATCTGTTGTACTCGTAATGTAACGCTCTTACACCCGCTTAACACGAGCCTTAGACCGAATTACACCCTTTATAATTGTTTTGGAATGTTCCCGAAATATAAGGAATTAATATTACAGACTTCTATAGTTGGTATTTGTAATTACTAGATAAGAATATGTTATATTCGTCAATTACAAATTGTATTGGTGCATTTTAAATTGTTTGTATGAAAATGAATGTCACGCATAATGAGTAGGTTGTTTTTTTAAATATTAAAAAAAAGTTTAAAATACAATATAATAATATTCTTGGGAAAGAAGAACCTTTGTAATCTATTTGGCTGGAACCCCTGTAATCTCTTGATCTGTGTAACTGTTCATTAGAACATTTAATTTTGTCACTCGAAGGGTTTATGATCGTCAGCTCATTAAGAAATTGACACCAAGGTTGCAACATCTCTTACTACAACTCTTACGAAAACGATATACGAATAGTCGAATATAGTTTACCAGCGGCCGCCCGCGACTTCGTACGCGTGGATCCCGTTTTACCCCCTTAGGGGTGGAGTTCAGCCCGATCCGTCCAGTGGTTTGGGCTGCGCGTTGATTGATCACTATGTCAGTCACCTTTGAGTTATTATATTTAGATTAACGGTATCTATTTGTTCCCAGGTGATGTACTGCCCGCCTCCCTACAACGACGGCATGTCAGGGCGCCCTCAACCGACGAAGACCACTCGAACGGGCAACGGCAATTCCTGCCACGACATCGTCTGAGACTCGGTCCGCAGTCGCACGCGCAACGACCAAGCGACCATCGTCTAAACCACGCAAATGATATTGTCCATCTCTCTCACTCATATGGCGAGAGGCAGAGATGAAACTAATGTCGGTTTGCAGAACACGGTCGATTGGACACACAATTGACGAGGTGGCTTTTGAGTTTTTTACTTTTTATAAGGTAATATAGTGCGTTATGTTTAACAATATTGTCAATATCTCCTCTATGACGCACCAAATATTATAATTATTTGGACAACCACAATTATTGCATTTTTTAATATATTTTTTTTTAATTGCCACAATGGCATTTAAATGTCACCTTTAAAATTGTATGTCTAATCACTAAATGCGCATGCGGCTACTCGAATCTTGACTTTATGTGTATAGTGACAAAAGCTGATGTTGTTTAAACTTAACTTTTAAGAGTGAACGAGCAAACTTTGTAGAAATAGCATTGATACATTATGTGAACATACAGAAAATTACCTTATGTATAAAATATAAAAGTTGCTCGCAAGGGTATGAATCATTTAGATGCAAGGTTTATATAAAATTATGAGTGATACAAGGACTATATTCGTGCTGCTACTGAAGCCAGTATAAAGTTATATTCTCTTTATAAACATGTTTATAAAAAAAACTTAGTTAATATCTATAACAGTAAACAATAATAACAGTTCTAAACAACACTGAAAATACCAATATTTATCTGAATACCTAGTAAAAGCCAAAGAATCTAATTTCCAAAGAAATAGAACTCATTTTCTTTTAACTGTAAGATGACTTATCGTATGCGGGTCCTGAAACTTAAGCTTAAGAGCCTTCTAGGGACTTAGTAAAATTGGAAAAAGAATTTTGTGAATATAATTGTAATCGAAGTTTAATAATAGGTTCTTAAAAACGTACGATCTTTGAACCGAACGCGATAGATACGTGTAGATAGCTTTTAATAGTTCAAAATGTATATAAGTACAATCAATATAAAGTTGAATACAATTTTTAATGTAAATTTTGTAAATAAACGCGAAAATTTCTCGCGGACTCTATGTTTTGAGCCCAAATATGGAGTGCGACGATTAATTTTCATGATGTAAATATTTTTTGTGATAAGTCAATGTAATTTAGTTCACGTCGTAGACAAATTAGTTAAACATCGAACTAAAGTCAAGTAAATAAGCTAGATTATAGAGTTTATAACTTAGGTTATGTAGTTTCAAGTTTGAATCGAAGAGGCAAGCTTATGTGTCAAGTTGAGAACTTGTAAAGTTTTGTAATTCATTTTTGTGATCCGACATCTGTTGAAATAACTTAGGTATGTAATAAAGATGTCTACTTGTATGTTATCCGATGTGATTTATATAGGTTGCTTTAATGAATAAATATAACTTAAATGTTTTGATATATGATTCGTCTTATTCATGTACAACAGTCTGTTACTTTATGGTATCTATATCTGCTGATGAAACATAACTTTTAGGCTTGGTTGCACCATCTTACTTTAAAGACCGTTTAAGGTAGGTGGTGGAGGTAGGCAACCCACCCTAAGGCTTAGTTGCAACACCTAACTTTGACCGTAACTACAACGATAACACGGTAATAATATCATATAGTATTACCGTGACGATAACCGGTGTTTTTGTATGGAGTTTGATAGATTTTTGACGTTTGTCAAAGTTAAAGTACTAAGATGGTGCAACCCAGCCTTAGATGTGTAATGTTTTTGTTTACTTAACAAAGTTGATATAAAGAATACGACTAGGGCCTCCTCATCCTTACTTATAATAAGTTTTAAAGCTGTTTTTTATTTGTTTTGTATCAATTTGTGTTATTTTATGTTATTGAAATTACATTTTTGGTTTTGTTTTATTTTCGTACAAAAAAGTACCTAACTTGCCAATTCAAAATCGTTGAGGATTCCAGTGAAGCTCGCTTCCACCTTCGGCCTGATCATCACTTACCACCAGGTGAGATACAGGCCAAGAGCTTAAAAAAATCTTATTTTAAACTCAAAATTAATGTTGATTTTATATTTTTCAAATTGTGTAAAATTTCCTAGCTTAAACTTAACTACTAACGTAACTTAGGAAAAAAAATAGCTCAATATTTTGAAAATACTCGACATTTTCCAAGTACAAAATCAAATTCGATATTTTTTAAAATAATTTAGCATTTAAAATTCAAACACCCCAATAACTTTTGAACAAGTTAAGTAATTACATAAGTAGGTATCCTTAACCCTACTAATTAAGAAAAGGGTCTAATGGAATTATTGGGTTAAACATTTCGGCACAAATTACGGAGTTGCACCGTTTTGATGGAATAAAAAATAAGGCTTTTATTTTAAAGTTTAAGTCACAGTAGCCCAACGGTTTCCGTGGCGGACTGCCAATTTGAGGGTCGGTATTTCGAAGCTCATTGTCCGCTAGACTATTATGGCATCCACTCCTGCGTAGTTAAATTAAATTAGCTGGAGGAATTAACGGGATTATACGTTATTTTTCAATGCAAATTGCTAATAGTTAAAAAAAAGGTCCAAAAGAGGTACATGTTACCAAGTTTCTTCCGCCACTTCTCAGCGCCAGCCGAAATAAATGTTGTCCCAAAGTGGTGGTGCAAGCTATATTTAATTTTGGCACGTGTGCACAGGGCACTTGTCCCTGAAAAGGACCTACAAATGAAGAATAAGAAATTGAAACATTTGTAACTCGCAATAAACATAATTGTACTCTCAAAAGCCTACATACAGATCCAAAGTATCTTTAATTGCTCTCTTTTTCCAAAAAGGGTGTGATACACGTGACGTCCTTGACCCGGTCTATTTCCCGGAGCATTATCAATCCGGGCGTTTCTTTAAACAGGAAACTTGTTTGTCCGGGTCGGTTGGGCAGGTCGGTAAAACATTAACTCGATATAATTACTTTTGTTCCGCGATATCAAAGCAGAGCGTAATTCATCCCTTTTGAGTTTCCAATGTCGCTGTGGTGAAGTTGTTAGCGAGTTAAACGTCCTAAACTGAGGAACAGTGTACTTAGTGCGAGTTTGCATTGAACTTCGAGTGCGTCAACCAATCTATGAAGATTTTAGTTCTTGAAAGTATCCGCTAGATTCTAAACTCGCACCAAACCCCCAGGCCGTTTTTAGATGAATGAATTATTTAATTTGATTGCACAAATTTGAAATTACTAATAATTAATGTTAACCCCTCTTAATTGCGTGCGTTCCTTGAATCATCTGCTGGGCTACTGTCGCCTCTAAACTGAAGAAACTATTCTGAAGAAAATTCTTCCTTTTTTGATGACGCTGAACTTGTGTTTTTTCACCACTATGGGACAGAAGAACCTTGGAAGAGTTTATAGGTAAGGATCGACCCCACGCTCCAGTGCAGGTACCATACAAAGCTTTATGTAACCCCTAAGATAAGATATACACCACAGACAGCTAGCTAACTACGGGAACCTATCACATGAACTGTTTACTTGCCAATAATATAATCTGAAGTGCTGTCAACCAAACTGGGTTACAGGGAATCTGATCTCAATTTTTTCCAACCTTTACACGGTGGTATCAGTAAACATCTCTCTGTGTCGATAATCGTTTAAAAGGGATCTCAGCTGCCTACTGTTCGGAAAATTGAATGCTTTATCAACAGTGACAAAGGCCGGGGACGTCACCTGTGCGTTCTCATGCCATCGATATTGAGAGATCCATTTTTTAGGGTTTTGTACTTCAAACAGGAAAATCATAAGGTTCACCCCTCCTATCAAGATTGTCTGTCAAGAGTTACAAGGAAATCGAAAACAGGATAGGCTTTTTTTAAGAAAGTATTTTTAAATCTCGTTAACCCCTCGTGGAAAGCTAAATATGCTTGTGTTACGAGTAAGTTCGCCGCACACAGGTAAGTACCTACTTCATAATATGATGATCCAGAGTTATCTTGATGACTTGACTTGATCTTACGTACCTACGTCCTACGACGAAAATTTGCAAAATTTAAGGGAATATTCTTAAAATAGTAGTAATTATTTATCATCTAAATTTTGCCAAGATCAAGTTATAATACGAAGAAATTAGGTTTAAAGATTCCATTGATAGTCTTCTTAACTCACAAGGTTCCTCTAATGAAAAAATTTTAACATCGTAGATTATTTTTCACAGCTCCATCTAGGAAAATTAGCATCCATGTGATTTCTGATTGGAATGTTATTTAGTACAGCGAGGGCGAGGTATAAGGTAAATTAAAACTTTTGTCATTGGCTCATGGCAACGTAATTAGAAACGTCCAAAAATAATCAAAAACTTTCCTGTCTCTTCTTCTACTCGAAAAAGACTATCGATAAAACTTGAAAGTGGAAATCATTTTATAAATACATAAAATAAGATTTGAAAAGCTATTAGTATGTGTAGATAATTCTACTCTTTCAACTAGAAGAATGATACCTACCTATTGAGTTTTTTGGTAAAATTACAACGATAATGATGACGATAATGTTTTTTCACAAATTACAATCAAAACCTCTAAATACCCATCCATATTAATGCTACTAACCGTACAATGGATTATTGGAATCAAATTTAGTTTCATCCAAGTATTAGTGTAAGTGGTGTAAGTAAACAGAATTATTCAAATGTAATCCATATTAACCTACTTTTCAGCAGCATTCCGTAGTTGTGTAACATTGGGTAATGTAACTTCATCAAATATTATTTATTTTGGTGGCAAAATAGCACTTACTATTTACAAACGTGTCACGCTACAAAAGAAATAACCAGTAAGCGTTTTAATTTTAGTACTACTAATTAAACTTTTATAATTAACTAAATAAATAATTTCATTTAAATTTTCGAAAGAAGGCTGTATACATTTTATTGCCATTGACTGTTTAAAAAAACACTTCTATGACATTTCAATCACATTTTGAAAAAGGAACGAAGATTTGCGGTGCTCGCTCTGTGATGTTCGAAATTCAAATTTATGCTGCGTGGTATCGAATTACCGTGGTATCGATTCCTTTGCAAGATTTTTTTATTCTATAAAATTTTATGAAGAACGAAACGTTTTGCAGTGTTCAAAATGTTTTTATCTGTAGTTGGCTGTATAGTCAATGATATCTTTGCCTTATCTAAAATTTATGAAATTATTTTTATGTTCGAATCTACCTTACAATTTTGAATAAACTATGACAGTTTTTATTTTAATCAGTTGTGTGCGAATCTTGACGAAATAAAGACCGACATGAAATTATTCGAATCAAATTATTTTTGATGGCTCGTGAACTCAAAGATTATTGTTTTTCGGTCAAGAACATTTGGATAATAAAACATTGTTTGTGTTTGTGACTATCGTTTAGTGAAATATAAACAGGTTAGTGAAGTGTGGTTTGAATAATATGTGGCTGTAAAGGAGAGGCAGAGGCGTGACGCGGTCGGCTGTCGGCAGGGTCCGGTTGGTAAGTACCTTTTAAATAATTTAAAACATTTGCACTTAAAACCGTCCTAAATATTGAGTAGACACTTATCGGAATGCTACAAGAATTTTGACAAAACTCATAAATACTCTTTATTTTCTCTAAGTTTTCAAAGAGCACTTTTAAACGACTCACTGAATAGGCTCAATGACTGTGCGACTCGCTATGCTCGTACACTTTTCATGGATTTTTATAGGTTAGCGTAGGTACTAAAGAAATTTTATAAATTAATACTATTGTGGAAAATAATTGGAGGTACCT